TCGGCTACTGTGGTGTACTTCTAACAGACCAAACACCCATCCATGTCTTGCCCAAGTACCACCATACCGTCCATGGTTATACTATAAGAAATACATAATTTCAGTTATGTATACACAAATACACAATACATCTTAAAAGTTTGCACATAAAATCTTAACCAAATGCAGTTCTGCTATTCTAAATTACTAGTAATTACTAATTACTAACTAGATTTGAGCTGACTTTTTTTTTTTTACCTTTCTTTTATGAGTGAATTTTGACTCATCAATTACAACGAAACGATGTCTCGTTCGCCCTCCAATTTTGAATTGGTTCTTTCTTTTCATCCTTCTCAATGCATTTGTGCACACCTTTTAATTAAAAACCATTGTTAGAAAGCATAAAAAGCAAACTATTACACCAGATTTAGTTTCAAGCATATGTACTCTAAACTTGATTTGTCTACAATTTTTTCAACAATCCCAGGATGCACACCAGAGTTGTATTCAACAAAATGGGAATTTGCATTATAATAGAACAGGATCCAAAACTAATCAAATCAAAACTAACACTTAAGCTTACCTTTCTGAGCTTTTTGTTCATTTTTGAGAGTGTTTAAAAAAAATTAAGAAAATGCATGAGGAAATTGACATTTTGAAGAAAAAATTGAGGGCAAGAACAGGTAGGTGACTATGGCTGGGTGAGGTCTGTTAAGATGTTAGCGGAATGAAATGTAGAACTGCTTTGGGACAACAGGATGGGGCTCATTTTAAAATAAGTCATTTTTGCAAAGTGTCAAAATATCAAGGACAATTTGATTACCCATTTCATTTCAAACTAAACAAATGTTGCATGCAAGCTTTAGTTCTTTGTCAGGAGATAGCAGATGCCAAAGCTCAAATACATCCACAGTAAAAAACAAAACAAAAAAATTACTGGCAGTTTAGGCTTATTTATGGTGTGAACTGAAGGCACTTGAATACAAATGAAAACCAGTTCACACAAAAAGTTAATTTTTATAATGTGATGGTTTTTTTTTTTTGGTTGGGGGGGGGGCAGGGAAGTCAAAAAAGTACAAATCCCGTGATTCAGATGATTCCAGCTCCACCTCCAGCTCCAGCTCAAGCTCCACCTCCAGCTCCACCTCAAGCTCCTCACTTTCATCCTCTTTGTTCTCCAAAATGAAGAAATCCCGCAAGAAGAGTAAAAAGGAGCACTGTCATCCTCTGGCAATGGCGAGAGGTACTGTTGTGTTTGGCAACCATTTTGCAATTAAGGGCCATATAGTGTTACCTTTTTTTGTAACAGGAATAACTACTATTAGGGATAATTCAGCATGCAGATACAGTTATTCAACACTCCTCCTTGCACTTATCATTTGAAATGTTTTTCCCTTGGCACACCTTCCTAGGCTTGCCAACGTCTTATTATATTTAGTATATGAATACATAAGACTATTTCAAATAACATCAAATTTACATCACAATAACAAAACTAACACTTAAGCTTACCTTTCTGAGCTTTTTGTTCATTTTTGAGAGTGTTGTTGAACTGGATGCCACTCCATCTTCCATCATGTCAATCTGGCGTAGTCTCAATCCTTGAGCAAACCTATAAAACAACAAAGTTAGTATTTACAAAATTGAAAACCTTACCAATGTCAGAAATTAAAGTTTGTGACATTTTCCCAATGACAATTATTTCCAGGGGATTTGTTTTCACTAACATTATATAATGTATCTGTCCCATCTTTTATATACAAACAAAATATTTAAAATTGCATCTGTAGTGGCAAATTGTTTAATGCTGCCCAGATGTGGCATAAATGCATTTACACAGCAGTTAAAATCACACAAGTAACATAATTAAATTTCTTTATTCCTAATTTTATATTTAAATGAACAATAATAAAATGACTGAAAAAGGCCAATGGTATCTTTAAATAACCTAAATTATGAGGCATGTTATATATTTATAGATTCTTGTCATGCTTGCATAAAAAAAAAAAACTATTAGATTTTTTTTTAAATGTTCCAACATGAATTTGAGCAAGAACATCAGTGTTTTTAAGCCTGCACAAATAAATACTACATGTTCATACAGAACAAACCCATACAATAAGGAAATAAATCATATATATCAGATTCTTTCAGATTGGGGCCTATGGTTGGGGCACACATTCAACTGCAGAACAGGGTAAATGCAAGTAACTCAAGACATGTTTTATTCTATTTTTACATAATAAACTTGGTTTATGTACTAACACATCAATACATACTAATTAGAGGTTGATGATATTTTAGTTTCCTAGTATAAAATTGTGTTTAAAGAAACACAACAAATAGATTATTTTGTTGATACTACTATAGCTACTGTATATAATTGAATTTGTTAGATAAACTTATTTGTCTTTCCTTCCTTCATAAACAAGCCAGAAATTCACTGGGACTCTTATTTTGACATGTTTATGCTTTACTACTGTTGCTACAGTGTTTTTTTTATTTATTTATTTATTTATTTTACCACAGATGATCGAGGGACATAAAATATGCCCTTTTACAACCATACAACATATTACAATAATAATAAAAAAACGTAAACACAATTCCACGAGCCAGTACAATGTGCAACATCGCAGCATTTTGACTTTGAAATCACATGTATCGACATTTCTCTGTTTTTCCATCGCCAGGAAAAATGAATAACACTTAATATTATAATTAATAATTTTGCTATAATAATTATGCTATTTTATCCTCTTTATATGGCCTTAAATCTGATCAAACAGAACCACGGAAATCCTATAACATGTCTGATGGCTACTTAACTTCTAAGAAAGCATGTTGTGGAGTTTAATGATATATATATATATATAAAATTGTTTGAATTACCTGTAAATGAACATTAACCATTGATGAAGTTCTTTATGGGATCCTGAAAAAATTGATCCGGTCCGGATTGATTTTTTCTTCCTTTGGGTGTGGTTCTGTTTGCGATAGCACAACCTGTTTTTTTTTTTAAAAGAAAGAAAAAGATTAATGGTACTAAAGTGATCAGTAAATTAAAAATAAATAAATTACTCTTTTTTCCAAACCACTCACCAGGTATATCCATCTTTTCTGTTGTCTTTCACGAACTTCATTTTTCTTCTGCAGTGTCCACATCTCATTTTTTTGGCCAATAATTTATGGCGCTGCATCCATTTAATAAGCTTTATCTTGTCATTTTGTTTGTGCTGTGGCAATGGTACAGACACCATATTTGAAATCCCGCGCTGCCGCGCCTAGCCGCCAACCTGCGCGTGCGCGGTTTCTGTACGTCAAACGCATTACCACGTGACACAATAATATTCTCTATTGTTTAAAAAAAGGAATCGTCTGGAGTCTGGAGACGCCTGCAAAACGAGTACGAGTCGAGAAGATACTGTAGGTATGGTATAAGTGTTTTTGTTGCTGTATACAGTACATATTTAGATAATTGATGTGAGATGTATTAAATTATGTATAGGACTGTCTCAGTTGACTGCTTTACTATAAACTTTACAATAAGCAATGTCAGATAACCACTACAGTCTATGGTCTCTCTCTCTCTCTCTCTCTCTCTCTCTCTCTCTCTCTCTCTCTCTCTCTCTCTCTCTCTCTCTCTCTCTCTCTCTCTCTCTATGTATCTAACTCTCTCTCCCTCTCTCTCTGTATATCTTATCTATGTACCTGTATCCCCCCCCCCCCCTCTCTCTCTCTCTCTCTCTCTCTCTCTCTCTCTCTCTCTCTCTATATATATATATATATATATATATATATATATATCTTGTATATGTATCTCTCTCTATCTATGTATATATCTATCTCTTCCCACATGGAAAGAACCTATATGAGGATATATGCGCATATATGAAACCTATATGCAGTTTATATGCACATATATGCTTCATATATACAGCATATATGCACATGATAATATATATGCTGCATATATGCGTATATATTGCACATATAGGCAAAACTGAGGTGCATATGTGCATATACAGGCATATAGGTCTCCTGTATTGCTTCTTTTTATCCACATATAAGCCCTATATGTGCATACATGACTCCTATATAGCTCATGGCAGGATCTGGTCATCATACCTCACTTTGGCAACTGTCATACATGATGCCTAGCTCATATTTTCTATTATCGAGGCAATAACTAGAACTAACTAAAAAAATAAATTATGCAAGAACTGTATATGTGCGAACATGTGAAATTGGTATCACATGTAATTGGCATGTTATGGAATTTAACTATGGCAATTAAGTGAGAGGAGATGGAAAGCTATTACAAGGTCAATTCTTTCTTGTATGAAGATAGTGGAAAAGAAGGAAATAACAAAATGGTTTGTCGTTTTTTTATTTTGTCAATCAAGCCCTTTTTCCAATTTCAAGTCACTTCCAGATTTACATAGCTCATACACATCCACACCCACACATTCACCGTTCCACCAAATGCAATGCAAAATGCAATGTTTTCTGTGTTGTCTTAATGCAGTTTCTATATGAATATGGCTGAAAGGTCATTACAGTCTAAATGTAGCAACAAAAAGAAAAAGAAAAAAAAGAACAGAACATACATTGAAGTAATCATCTTCATCATCATCATCATCCCATCTATCTGAGCATTTCACTATGGTTAATAAATTTGAAGACAAGCATTTTGAGTCTGTAAAGTTTTTAAAAAATTATAATTAAAAAAAGCCCAAAGATCTGTATCTCTGCTAAATGAATTTAATATATGTTTGAGATGGCCTTTATCTTTTTTTCTTTTTCTTTTTCTTTTTCTTTTTCTTTTTCTTTTCTTCCAAATTATTGTTGTTTCAACTTACACTTATCAAATGTGAAAATCTGTAAAAGAAATGTGTCAAGAACTTGATATCAAACTCTGTAATTTTGAAAATTAAAAAAAATAATAATAATAATAATTCTCCACTCTGCTGCTACCATGGCTACAGCGCCGCGTAGTTGATGACGTCATCCGCCTGACGTTTGACGATTCGCGCCGAAAGATATCGGCTGGGAGTGAAAATGGCGATATCAGCGTTGGAGATCCGCTATGTCCTACTTATCATCAATCGTAAGTATTCCTAATTCTAATATTTATTAGCAGGGTTTTTTTTCTGGAGATGGATATTGCGGTGGCAGAGAAGTATAAACTTAGAAATTGTATGGGCTGAAACTGAAAGTTTAACACGTGTTTGGCAAAATAAATGCTATGTTGTTAACTGAGGTAAAGTTAGTGTGGGTGCTCATATAACGTTAGCCGTTGATAAGATTCAAATTAGAATTCTATTTATGTGTCTCTTTCTAGAGGAATTCGTAGAGGGTTAACGTTAACAAAAGTCATGGCCTAGAGAACATACAGTTCATGAGAATAAATGATGCTTCTCTGCCTTCAACGGCTCAAGAAGTCAATCGGCTCCAGAAAAAAAACCCTGGGGAATTTGAATTTGGGAGAAATTGGAGAAAGACATTTTTTTAATTGCGTTCACAACCAGGTTTCCTCTCCAGAGCCTTATCAATGGGCTTTGGAGGGTTGTAGCTTGCGTTCACAGCTGCAGGAAATGTCTTTCGAATAGTAACTTTAACGTTAGGGCACTGAGTTGCTGGGTGCTATTCTGCTTTAGTGATTGTAATTGTTTTTTCTTTAGGCTATATAACTTCTTTCTAGAAATCCCTCAAATGAAAAGTGACCTCGCCATTATTGCTCAAAAGGTAAGTTCCACTGATTTTCATTGCTTTTTAAAATTGTTTCTCAAGCAGAGCTGTAGAGACTTGTGATGTTGGGCTGATTGATAGTGTTTATTATTTGATGTATTTGCACTTTAATTTATTGAAGAGAATGACTATATTTTTGTTCTATGAACAAGACTGGAAGGAGTCCTGTGGAGGATCTAGATGTCTCCTTCTCGACTTTCGGAGAAGTGCAACCGGTGAGTAACCCCCTTGCATTTGTATTTATTTATTTAGTTTACTTGTTACTCAAACAGAGCTATATGGATTTTTATGATGTTTGGCTGATTTTTTTTTATTGATTTTTTATTTTATGTTTGGCTATGAATTTATTGACATGTTTAATGTTTTCCAAGCCCCCCCTGTAAATAGGAATCTATAGTGGCTTGCTTGGATGAATAAAAATTGTTGTAGAGTTTTACTAAGTTTCTTTCTTTAAGACTCCAGAGAGGAGACCGAGCCCTTTAAAGAGAGTCCCATGGTGACTGAGCGCTTTCGAGAGACACCACAGGTGTGTGTAATACCTCAGATTTTTCTGTACTTATTTTACTTAAGGCTCCAACTGAGCTATAGGGATTTTTATGTTGGGATAGTTAGTGGTAATATGTAATTTACTTGCCCCATATGCATACAATTGTTGAAGTTTTACAATTGAGATTAACAATGTTTTTCTTCTCTAACAAGACTGCAGCAACAGCTGAGACCACAGCGAAAACACAGGTGAATAACATTATGTAGTAAGGATGGGTATAAACTGTGTGCTTTGTAGGAGCCAATTAGTGTTATAAGAGACAATCATCCTTTCCTCCTGCCCCCCTTCACTCCTCTCCACCCACTGTCTTTTCTCCTACCCTACTCTCCATCCAACCTCCTCCTCTCCTTTAATAACGTTTAGGGCAATGATTAATTTGTTTAATATCTTTATCATTAATCTGCATTTATACATCATAACCTATTAACTTTTGGGAAGCTAAGCATAAGAATCAATATGAAACATGAAAAAGTTTCTAAAAGTTGCCAATAAATTAATATTGTGATGTGAAATTATTTTTCAGATTGAAGTTATAAAGGGCTCTGGGGTGTTTTGCCAGGCAGAAGCGTGGAAAGCAGCCCGCCTTGCCACCTCTGCCACTGCCATGGTGCCGAATCTGCTGCTGGGCACCTTTGATTTGGATACTTTGCTGAAAAGCAACCTGAATGGTACTAAACATGTTCCTAATCTCTTCTGTCCTTGAAAAAAAACAAGTCTGTCATATTCTGTGGAATAAATTATGTTTGTGTGCGGGCATACCATCGCTTTTTTACTTGCCATTTTTGTATTTCCTTGCACCTCAAGAAAATGTGATGTGTATATAAAAAATCTCTTGTTTTCACCACCTTCATTTTACCCCCCTTTCATAATAATTTTGAAATATTACTTTAAGGTGGGAAGCCAACCAGAGGGGATGGGGAGCAGCTGGTCGCCCTTGACCAAATTAAAAAGGCAGCCATTATTGGTGAGTAAATGCATAATGCGTTGAGAAGGGAAAACAAAACTTTTAAGACTTTATAAGTTCACCACTTTAACCATAGCCTACTTGTATCAATGTTTATTAGGCATCAATGGAGACTGTATAATGTAGGGCACCCATTATTGTTACTGTATCTGCTTGGAACCTATAATACTAATTCATTGCTTGCTCACTTCTTGATCCTACCTTTCCTCTTCTAAAGCCACATTTCTGAAATTTTTCTATCCATGAATTTTCTCTGCTTTGGATGCACATGATTGACCGTGTGACTGTTAACAATGCAGTCCCCATGACGGACATGTGCATATGAAAGAACGATGCCGCTAAAAAAAAAAGGGGGACGATGTTTCCAATCAGAATTTCTTTCAGATTTAGCAGAATCCAATCAGAATCTTCCAATTGACGTGTTTACATGACGCATTTTTTATTATGCTCAGCCCTTTATCCAAAATGTGTGTCCAATCGCAAGCTGTACTGTAAGCACTTTGGGTTCCTGATGAAGCAATATATTGTTATTATTATTATTATACTGTCTTATTATTTTTGTCTTCTCTAGATGCTACATTGAAGAAGTGGCCGGCAACCAGCCGAGGGGAGATAGGCACATCTATCAATTCGAAGCTCACGGAGCTGAGATCAACAAGATAAATTGGGTTTTATTTCTGTACAGTTTTTTGTCTTATTTTTGTTCTTGTACTATTTGATTGTTCTTGAGTAAATAAATAATTTAAATTTCTACATTTTGGGCTATTATTTATGTTGCCTAGTAGCTATGGATTTTAATAATTATAGTAATATATAGGTAAACATATAGCTGGATATATACGTGCATATATGTACCTATATAGGTACATATGTGCACATATATGTGCACATATATATGCACATATATAGGTACATATATGCACCTATATAGGTACATATATGCACGTATATATGCACATATATAGGTTCATATATGCACGTATATATGCACGTATATAGGTACATATATGCACCAATATATGTACATATATGCACACATATATGCACCTATATTGGCATATATGCACCTATATATGTACATATATGCACACATATATGCACCTATATAAGTACATATATGGACGTATATATGTACACATATATGTACATGTATGTGCATATATGTACATATAATATAGGAAAACGGCCAATTTTATATATGTCACATATATTGAAATCCTATATCAAAACCTATATTAAAACATATATGTTTATATAGGTTCTTTCCATGTGGGTTTCTCTCTATCTTGATAGATATATACATACATATACTTACTTTTAATAAAAATAAAGTACATTCACCGATTTTAATATTAAATACCATAGCCAAAAAAGTTTTAATGATGTGGTTTATATCATATCTGCTGTGTGGATCACTATTTATTCTGACCCAGGTCCACCATGGCCAGCAAAAGAGGGAAAAAGAAAAGGAAAAAAAGTATGGATGAAGAGACTGTAGAGAGCCCCAAAAATGTGACAGAAGATCTACAAGTTGCTGAACAAGTAGAGAAGCATGGAGAAGACCAGATCATGCTAGATGAAGATAATGTGTCCAGCGAGGAGAGTGTACAGTGTGATGAGATGGTTCTGTCCAGTGGTAAGAGTTTAATCATTGTATTCGGTCTTGATTCTGAGAATGTAAGCATTCCTCAATTGAAATTTTGAAATATAGATATGTGCCTTAGATTTTTAACTGGTACACAGAAACGGGACCACACTTTTGGTTTTACCCATACATTGCGTATTTTATTAACATTGATTTTTCAAGGTCATTTTTATTATCAGACAATGTCACTGATTTTAATGTAGTAGATTATTTTTAACATCATGCTTTTTTATCTTATGTTAAAATGGTATTGTCAAATAACTTTTGTTTATCTTTTTTTATCTCTTATTGAAATCTTTATTTAGCGCTTTGGTTAAAGTGGAAATCTAAGTGCTTCATGCCCTGAAGAAGGCTATGCCGCTACGCGTGGGCGTTTTAAAGTTGTCCATTTAGGACATGTCATTTTTGTAATAAAGACATTTTAATTAAGGAGTGCCTCGGTTATCAGAGAATTCTTTCTGCTTCATAAATATGCCTTAACTCTACATTGACTATTTTGTTGATTGCAGATAAAACCAGCTCCCTGAATTTGCTAAAGAAAAATAAAAGACTGCGGAAAAAAATTAAGAAAATGCATGAGGAAATTGACATTTTGAAGAAAAAATTGAGGGCAAGAACAGGTAGGTGACTATGGCTGGGTGAGGTCTGTTAAGATGTTAGCGGAATGAAATGTAGAACTGCTTTGGGACAACAGGATGGGGCTGATTTTAAAATAAGTCATTTTTGCAAAGTGTCAAAATATCAAGGACAATTTGATTACCCATTTCATTTCAAACTAAACAAATGTTGCATGCAAGCTTTAGTAGATAGCAGATGCCAAAGCTCAAATACATCCACAGTAAAAAACAAAACAAAAAAATTACTGGCAGTTTAGGCTTATTTATGGTGTGAACTGAAGGCACTTGAATACAAATGAAAACCAGTTCACACAAAAAGTTAATTTTTATAATGTGATGTGTTTTTTTTTTTTTTTTTGGTTGGGGGGGGGGCAGGGAAGTCAAAAAAGTACAAATCCCGTGATTCAGATGATTCCAGCTCCACCTCCAGCTCCACCTCAAGCTCCTCACTTTCATCCTCTTCGTTTTCCAAAATGAAGAAATCCCGCAAGAAGAGTAAAAAGGAGCACTGTCATCCTCTGGCAATGGCGAGAGGTACTGTTGTGTTTGGCAACCATTTTGCAATTAAGGGCCATATAGTGTTACCTTTTTTTGTAACAGGAATAACTACTATTAGGGATAATTCAGCATGCAGATACAGTTATTCAACACTCCTCCTTGCACTTATCATTTGAAATGTTTTTCCCTTGGCACACCTTCCTAGGCTTGCCAACGTCTTATTATATTTAGTATATGAATACATAAGACTATTTCAAATAACATCAAATTTACATCACAATAACAAGATACAATGATTAAATACAAATGTGTAAAAGAGTCATGATTGTGATTCTAAGAATGTTTTGTAAATATGCAATTTGCTAGAATGTTGTTGGACTTACCTCACATGTTTCTTGTTTATCTTCAGAAATAATGGGATAGCCTGCAGTAGATTAGCCAGCAGACAGGACAGTTCACAGTAGAGTGCACATACTGGATAACAATATTCTTCAAATCTGACTTTGGTGGGCCTGTAGAGTTTAGCTCCATCCCTAATCTTTTTGTAAATTTTTTTTTTTTACTATTGATAGAATCATGCTGTTCTTTCCTGCAGTGGTTCCCAAATCCTGTTTTTGTAGCCCCCAACACTGTACATTTCATATGTCCTCATTGAACACACCCAATTCAATACTACATCTCAATTCGCCTTCATATACTACACCCTAAAAGTATACTCCTTTTGTGAGGAAAAAGTACATACATTTGAGTATGTATGAGAGGCATGTAGTAGTATCCAGCTTTGGGACATAATACTTCATCATCTTTGACAGACAGCTCTGTTGCTTAGTTATGTGCATCCTGTGACCGTTTAAACTGCCCTGTCAATCATCTTGTCACAGTTCCACATTCCACAGATTCACAGTCTTTCATGAGGAGAAACTCTCATGTGGATAACATTTAATAAATAT